GGTTGCTGGAGTCCCAGATATGGCGACTGTCTGCTGCCCCAGGGAAGGGCTCACCAAAGGAACTAAGGCCTCTGACAGCATGTTTGTCCTGGAGAAAGCCCCCTCTCCAGCCCTCACTCCAATGCCAAACAGTTCAGTTCTTCCCTGTATGTCTCTGGTGCCCCTCAAGCTGCCTCCTCTCCAAGTTTAGAGGGAGTGAGTCTGATAAGTCTGTGTGCGGGCCCTTTAAGGAGCTGCCTGCGGCTCCAGCTGCCTTAGCTTCCCTGAGCTTCAGTTCCCGCTGGTTTTTCCAGCCAGAAGTTATGGGGACCTCTCTTCCTGGCACTGGAACCCTGAGCAGGGCGTCTGGTGTGGGATGGGGACCCCTTAGTCCTCAGGGAGGACCTTCCCAGCCAAGGTATCCTCTGATTTTTATCCGCTACACATGGGTGTGGGACTAGCCCGTCTGCCTCCTCCCTCCTACCAGTCTGGATGTGGCTGCTGCTTTAATTATGTAGCTGTAGGACTTCCATTCAGCTTGATTTCAGGTGGTTTTGAATGATGGTTGTTCTGTAGTTTAGTTGTAACTTTGATGTGGTTGTGGGAGGACACGATACCACGTTTACCTACGCTGCCATCTTGACCGGAAGTCCCTTCATCTTCTTTACCCATCCCCCCAATCCCCTTCCATTTGGCAAGCAACAAAAAGTTCCTGTATCTATGCGTCTGTTTCCGTTCTGCTTGCTCATTTTGTTTGTATATTCAATTTTTGATAGATATGTATTTTATGTTGATAGATATATATTTATTGACATTTTATTCTTCATATTTTTTTTCTCTTTCAAGAAGACCCTTCAACATTTCATTTAATACTGGTTTGGTGGTGATGAACTCCTTTTGCTTTTTCTTGTCTGGGAAACTCTTTATATGCCCATCAATTCTAAATGACAGCTTGCAGGATAGAGTAATCTTGGTTGTAGGTCATTGCTTTTCATCACTTTGAATATCTCTTGCCACTCCTTTCTGGCCTGCAAAGTTTCTTTTGAGAAATCGGCTGACAGTCTTATGGGAGCGCCTTTGTAGGTAACTAACTGCTTTTCTCTTGCTGAATCTTTTATGATTCTCTCTTTGTCTTTAACCTTTGGCATTTTGATTATGGTATATCTTGGTGTGGACCTCTTCAGGGTTGTGTTGTTTGGGACACTCTGTGCTTCCTGGACTTGCACGTCTGTTTCCTTCACCACGTTAGGGAAGTTTTCTGTCATTATTGTTTCAAATAGGTTTTCAATGTTTTGCTCTCTTCTTCTGGTACTCCCATGATGCAAATGTTGGTATGCTTGAAGTTAACCCATGGGCTCCTTACACTGTCCTCACTTTTTTGGATTCTTTTATCTTTTTGTTGTTCTGATTTGGTATTTTTTGCTTCCTTATATTCCAATTTTATGGTTTGCTTCTTGGCTTCACCTACTTTACTATTGATAGATATATAAATTATTCTACTCTGTAAATTATTCTTTATTTCAATTAAAGCATCCTTCATTTATGACTGGTCCTTTTTCATGTTGTTGATGTTCTTATAAGTTCCTTGGAGTTCTCCTTAAGTTTCTTGAAGATCTCACTAAGTTTCTTGAGTATCCTTATAACCAGTGGTTTGAACTCTGCATCTGATTGAGTGTTGATCTCCATTTTGTTTAGTTCTTTTCCTGGAATTTTGTTCTTTTATTTAGAACACGTTTTTTTTGTCTCCTCATTTTGGCTGCTTTCCTGTGTTTATTTCTATGTATTAGGTAGAGTTTCTATGTCTCCTAGGCTTCTTAGGGTGGCCTATTGTTGTAGGTGTCCTGTAGGATCCAGTGGCACAGCCTCCCTGATCAGCCCAACTGGACCCTCAAGGTGTACCCCTACTGTGGACTGTACACCCTTCTGTTGTAATTGAGTCTTGATTGCTGTTGACACATCAATGGAAGGGGGTTACTCAGGCTGATCAGCTGCAAAGACTGGCTGTGTCCACTGACCACTGGCCTCTGACTACTTTGGAGGATCAGCAGTGTAGGGGCCCAACACACAGTGTAAGACCTACTTCGTCAAGGCTCTGGTACCCACTGTGTCCACTCATTGAATGTGTCACTTGTGGAGGTGGTTGGGTAGTGGTGCTTCAATGTGGTCTGAAGCTGTGCAGTGGGTGTGCTGGCCCTGGGGCAAGGTCAGCCCCTGCTTGTTCTGCCCGGGGCCACCCAGCATAAGCTACAAAGTGATCTGCAGATGGCTGCTTCTTGTGCTGGGCTTGGAGATACCCAGAAAAAGCCAAGTTGTGAACCATGGCTGGCTGCTTTAGTGCTAGGCCTGGGACCACTTAATGAGAGGTATGGGGCTCTCTGGGACCAAATGCTATTTATTTGAGAGATTTTAGGAAAATCTGAAGCAGGAGCCAAGACAGGCCAATCCTATGGTAAAGCCTTTGGAAACAACTTGGGTGAGACCAAAGGTTGGATGGGGCAGGGCTTCAGGGAATCATCAAGGTAGGATAAACAGGGTGAGCCAAGTTGCTGGAATCCCAGGTATAAATGCTGTCTGCTGCCCCAGGGAAGGACTCACCAAAGGAACAAAGGCCTCCACAGCAAGTCTGTCCAGAAGAAAGCTGCCCCTCCAGCTCTTGTCCCAATGCCAGACAATTCAGTACTTCACTGTATGTTTCTGGTATCTTTCAAGCGCCTCGCCGATACTGTAGCCCAGAAGGAGTGAGTCCAAGTAATTTGTGAGCAGGCCCTTTAGGAGGAACTGCCTGGGGCTCCAGAAACCTCAGCTTCCCTCAGCCTCTGTTCCCTCTTTTTTTACAGCCAGAAGTTATGGGGACTTCTCTTCCTGGCACTGGAACCCTGAGCTGGAAGCCTGGTGTGGAGGGGGACTCCTCACTCCTCAGGGAGGACTTCATAGCCACGGTATCCCTCCTGATTTTTATCTGCCACACTTGGGTGTGGGACCAGCCCATCCCCGCCCCCATCCTTCCTACCAGTCTTCATGTGACTTCTTTAATTTCATAGTTGTAGGACTTCCATTCAGCTCTTTGTCAGGCATTTCTGAATAATGGTTGTTCAGTAGTTTAGTTGTAATTTTGATGTTGTTTTGGGAGGAGGCGAGACTCGTTTACCTATGCCGCCATCTGGACCGGAAGCCCCACTCAATTCTTTTATAAGCCTTTTTATCAAATAGCGCCAGATTGGTTGAAAAGTGCTTTCAAGGTTTTTAATCCACTCTTTAATTATATTTCTTTTTATCATTTGAAAGACCAGTTATAAATATATCTCCCATGTAATACTTAGTGACATATACTGGCAAATGACTCTCCTGTTGTATTGAACCAAGGTCCTAATTATGAGGTTATACAAGTGTCAGTCAAAAACATCTTGTGTTTTTCATAAAATATGTATGACATATTGTAGATAAAAGAGAGCACTGCTGTGTTAATTTTAAAAAGAAACTATGCAATACACCCATGTTCATAGCAGCAGTATTCACAGTGGCCAAAACCTGGAAGCAACCCTAGTGTCTATCAACATATAAACGGCCAAACAAAATGTGATATATACATACAGTGGAATAACATTCAGCCTTTATTTTTTTTAAATTTAATTTCTTTTTCTTTATTGATTTTGGATAGAGAGGAAGGGTGACGGAGAGAGAGATAGAAACATTGATGAGAGAGAACATCGATTGGTCGCCTCCTGCATGCTCCCTACTGGGGACTTGGCCCATAACCTGGGTTTGTGCCCTGACCAGGAATTGAACCGGCGACCTCTTGGTGCATGGGTTGACACTCAACCACTAAGACACACTGGCCGGGCTTGAATAGTATTTAGCCTTTAAAAAAAGTAAATTTAGCCCTGGCTGGTTTGGCTCAGCAGTTAGTGTTGGCCCACGGACCAATGAGTCATGGGTTCAGTTCTGGTCAAGGGCACATACCTCAATTGTGATTCGTTCCTGGCCCTGGTTGGTGTCGTACAGGAGGCAGCAACTTGATGTGTCCTTTTCACATCAACGTTTCTCTCTCCTTCTCTCCCTCTCACTTACTCTCTCTCTAAAATCAATAAAGAAAAAAAATTTAAAAATAAAAAGAAGGGAATTCTGACATATGTGACCACATGAATAAACCTTGAGGACATGCTAAGTGAAATAAGCCAGTCACAAAGTGACAAATACTGTATGATTCCATTTATATGAGGTACCTAGGGTAGTCAAATGTACAGAAACAGAAAGTAAAATGGTTGCAAAGGGCTGGAAGAAGGGAGAAATGGGGAGTTTTTCTTTAATGGGTACAGAGTTTCAGTTTAGGAAAATGAAAAAGTTGTGAAAATGGATGGTGGTAATGGCTGTACAACACCGTGAATGTACTTAATGTCACTGAACTATACACTTAAAAATGGTTAAAGTAGTCTTGGCCAGTATGGTTCAGTGGTTGGAGTTTTGGCCCTCAAACTGAAGGGTCGAGGACTCAATTCCCGTTCAAGGGCGCATGCCTTGGTTTCAGGTTTGATCCCAGATCCTAGTCAGGGCTCGTGTGAGAGGCAGCTAATCAATGTGTCTCTCTCACATTGAAATTCCTCTCTCTGTTTCCACCCCCCCCCACCTCCCTTTCACTGTGTCTAAAAATCAATAAAAAATATATATATATCCTCGGATGAGGATTGACAAAAAAAAAAAAAAAGTTGAAATAGTAAATTTTGTTATGTATGTGTCACCACACACGCACAAAAAAGCCTGTGTGGGAGCTATAGGTCTTTACTAAACAAAAGCATGAATTACAGATTTTTTTTCAAAAAGTCAATTATTGTACATTAAATTCAAAAGCAAATTGAAAGAAAAATGCTTTGTTAATTAGAAAGTGGGATATGCATAGTAGAAATGATAGAACACAGACCCCTTGGTGATTTAATGTTTAATATATAAATATATAGAGAGAACTATTAATGTACCATAGAATAGAGTAATATGTACATTTGATGTTTTTGAAAAACATCAAAACATTTGATGTTTTGAATTTTTATTGTAACTCAATTTGCATAGCTATTAAACTGCCATTCAACATAAGAGATTAAGAGTACTTCATAATATTTAACTGATGTACATTCCTGCAGCTTTGTTTACTGTATTTCAGGATTTTCAGGTCTCAACTGAAGAGATAATTCTACTTGTTGGGTATAGAATGCATCAGATCTTCGTACCTTTTATTAAAAAAAAAAAGCAATAATCAAAACATTAATAAGTTACTTATAGAATGAGTATATTTTTTCTTGGAACAAAAGTTCAGAGCCCGGCCAGTGTGGCTCAGTGGATTGAGCATCTTCCCATGGACGGAGAGGTCTGGGTTTGATACCCAGTCAGGGCACATGCCCAGGTTGCAGGCTTCATCCCCAGTAGGGGGTGTGCAGGAGGCAGCCGACTGATGGATCTCGCTCTCTCTCACCCTTCCTCTCCCTCCAAAAACTCAATAAAAACATTTTTTAGAAAAGTGCAGAGTGAGTAATAGAATACTTTTGGTGTTTGAAAAAAAATTAGCACATAGCAAAATCATAGAAAACCCATATGTATGGAACCCATATGTATTTTTAATAGCACTATTTGAAGGGATTGTCACAGTTTCCCTGGTTTGATGAACTTCTATGATGGACCCTGGTTCTGATGTGAAACTAAAGTGTTTATTCGGCACTCTACATATACAGGGTGTTTGCTCATTAAACTTCTGTTGCATGTGACTGTTAACCCTGAGAAGGAATATATCTGCCAAGAAGGACTCCCTGTGAATAATTGGGCCCAAAATCCTAACCAGAGTATAACAGTCATTGCTGACAGAGACCTCTCGGGAATATTACATATTCAGGAAAAGCCATAGACTGAGTAGCCAAGGCTCCTGCACTGTGTTCCTGAAGTCTGAGCAGACACTTATAAAGGAGTTCCTGGAATCTTATTTCAGCCAATGGGCTGAGACTTGCCCTGTCCAGTTGAAGCTGAGCAGCTGTATCTTTAGTTGCATCTTTACTGACCAATTAGAGCAGCTCCATTACAACCAATCAGGATGCACAATTTCAACCAATCATGGCAGTGCAATCTGAACCAATCAACTCTATAAATTTAAATTCCTTATTTGCATAAAAAGGACCAATTAGGAACCAGGGTAGGCACTTTCCCTATATAAGCAGGCTCTTTTTGTCTGAAGAGTACACTTTCAGTTTCCACCTGAGACTGCATTTGTCTGGTTTGAAAACTGTTCACCTGCATAAAGTTTCTCCTTTTATTGTGCTTGAGACTAGAGACACGTGTTTTCATTGGATTGGTGTCAATGACCTTTTGTTGACACTACATATTACTTTATTCAATGGTTTTTTATGTATACCTTTCATGATGATCATGTAGGTAACCAATCAACAAATTAAGACTGTCTTTGCGAAAGATCACCTTACTAAATAATAGGTGCAGAATCTCAATTTCTCGATATCTTATTTTCCATTGTCATTGCACCTTCATCATTACAAAATCTGTGAACAGATGATTGTATTGAAAATATTTTTACTTGGATATCAATATATAGTCAATACTTATTTGAGCACTAGTACATTGTTTTCTTCTCAAAAACCTATAGTGTCTTACCGTGGTCTATAGAGTTTGAGCCCCAGGTATGATTGTCTGGCTTCCCCTTTGATTTTGTGAGTGAGACAGTATTCTTCCATTTCTTTTAGCTGTGTTGGTCTTGGTTGCTACAACTAAAGAAAGAACCCAAACTCATATAGGTGGGAGGTTTCTGGACATAGGAAGCATGAAGGTCCTACTGGGCGAGATGGGTATAGTAAGATTCTCAGCATCTCTAGTACAGAAACACTCCCCTCCTTCTTGCCCTGTTTGCTCACACTTTCCCCACACTTTCCCCTTTTTGGAATGTTCTCCCCTCCCACCTCCACATTTTAATTTCATATGTATATAATTTTTTTTTAAAGAAAGGGTGGGACAGGAAGGGAAGAAAAGAACAAAAAAGAGGAGAAAGAAGGCCAGTGGGAAAGGAAGAGAAAAAAGGAAATATATTTAACTGAGAATTGTCCTCTTCTGGAAAGTGAATGGCCCTCCCCTCAACTTCTGGAGGCCTCCACCCTTGGACACTCACTGAATGCTTTGCATGTATCTTTTACACCCCCACCTCACTCCCCGACTCTCCCTGCCCCCGCTTCCTGGATAGAAAGTGTACTTGGGAAAGGATGTTGTGAATTCATTTCTTTCTCCTCCACAGTGCCTACATCCTGTGTCTTAACTTAGTAGCTGCTAAAAAGATATTGGTTGTTTGACTGATATAAATGGAAAACAGTTCTCTAAAACTCAGAGGTAAAGATGGAGGTGTGGTAGACAGTTAGACAGACATGAGCAGAGCAAGGACAATAGGCCAGGTACAAAAGGTCACCAAGGCAGAAGCCCTGGGTGCCTAGCAATGGGAAAAACTGGGAAAACAAGATCTCACCCCCAAGGTAACCTTTCCTCCTTTACAATATTGTTGGTCATGTGATTTAGACCCCCTAACCTTTCATATTGCTGGTCATGTGGTCTCCCCTGACCATTTCTTCCCTGACATGTTGCTAGTCATGTGAGTTAGACCCCTTAGAGGGGAACAAACAAGGGGGTCAGAGAATAGCCCTTAAGCATTAAGCCCCAGGACAATAAAGTTCTGACCCCTATGAGATACATCTAGGCCTCAGTTGTGTTTCAGCTCCAGGCCCAGAAAAGCAGCAAAACCAGACAAAGGACACCATGGCTGACATCAGGACTAGCTACAGTGACTAATGACTCCCTGCCCTGGCACCCACCAATCAGTAGAGACTATGACTCTGAAAGGACACACCTGGATAGCTGATGAATATCCTATTGGGATTCTCCCCTTGAGACCTCCAGATAAACACCCTTAACACAAGGACCTGGCAGGCTCTCCCTTCTGGAAACTTGCTTGGGTCTCTGCTATCCCTTTCCTCCTCCCCATCAAGCAATACCTTTATCTTTCTCTCTCCTAAGCTATAAGGGCCCTTTTTTTTCCTCCTGTTTAACTTGTTTTCTGAGCCCATTTCTTCTACCACTCACTTCCTCTACCTCAGTGACTTTCTAAATAAACTTTCTCTTACAGTTTGAGTATTGGCGCCCTGGCCGGTTTGGTTCAGCTGTTAGAGCGTTGGCCTGCGGTCCAGAGAGGCCCGGGTTCGGGTCCCGCTAAGGGCACGTACCTCAGTTGCAGTTTGTCCCTGGCCCTGGTGGGTTGTGCAGGTAGCAGCCACTCAATGTGTCCCTTTCATGTCAATGTTTCTCTCTCTGTTCCTCTCTTTCCCTCCCACTCTACCTGAACAAAAAGTGGAAAAAGTGTCCTCGGGTGAGTTTTGGCTCCAAATTCTTTCCTAGCCAGAACTCAAGAACTGGGGGGGTTGCTGAACCAAGGTCTGGTCTGACCCCACTGGTCTAACACCTGGTGTGGTTCTCCCCATCACCAACAGAGGCAGCAAATCCAGTAATATCTAGCTTAATTATACATTGATGTTGACCTACTAACAAGGTCCCTTATGAATAATAATTGAGAATTAAAATTTAATTATGCTTTAAGTTTGGTCATATTACCAAAGGAGAGTATTATATAGTTTTAATTGCACCACTAATTTAGAAGATATTTAGCCATAACCTACTCAAGTATTCTCTTGATTTTAGACCTTCAGATTGTTTTTTTAAATTTATTTTATTTTGATCTTTATTGTTGAATGTATTACAGACGTTCCTCATTTTTTCCCCATTGACCCTCTCCTCCCCACGCCCACCCTCCTCCTGCCTTTTCCCACACTGTTGTCTGTGTCCATTGGTTACATATAAGTTTTTGGTTTATTCCCCCCCCCCCCCACCCCCTTCCCTTTGAGGTTTGTCAGTCTAGCAACCAATCTGTATTTCTTAATCCCTTCACCTTTTTCACCCATTCTCCCAACCCCTCTCCCATCTGGCAACCAACAAAATGTTCTCTGTATCTATGAGAATGTTTCTGTTCTGCCTGTTCATTTTGTTTGTAGATTTCATTGCCGATAGATATGTATTCATTGCCATTTTATTTGTTCATATATTTTATCTTTCTCTTCAAGAGGACCCTTCAACATAATAACAGTTTTGTGGTGATGAACTCCTTTAACATTTTCTTGTCTGGGAAACTCTTTATATGGCCATCGATTCTAAATGGCAGTTTTGCAGGATAGAGTAATCTTGGTTATAGGTTCTTGCTTTTCAACACTCTAAATATTTCTTGCCACTCCCTTCTGGCCTGCAAAGTTTTTTTTTTTTTTTTTGAGAAATCAGTTGATAGTGATATGGGAACTCTCTTGTCGGTAACTAACTGCTTTTCTCTTGCTGCTTTTAAGATTCTCTCTTTGTCTTGAAACTTTTGCATTTTGATGATGATGTGTCTTGGTGTGGGCTTCTTGGGGTTCCTCTTGTTTGGGACTCTCTGTGCTTCCTGGACTTGTATGTCTGTTTCCTTCACCAAGTTAGGGAAGTTTTCTGCTATTATTTCAAATAGGTTTTCGATTTCTTGTTCTCTCTCTTCTCCTTCTGGCACTCCCAAGATGTGAATGTTGGCATGCTTGAAGTTGTCCCAGAGGCTCCTTACACTGTTTTTGGATTCTTTTTTTTTTTTTTTTTTTAACTGTTCTGATGGAGTGTTTTCTGCTTCTTTAGATTCCAAATTGATATTTTGCTTCTTGGCTTTACCTACTCTACTATTGAATCTGTGTAAATTATTCTTTATTTCAGTTAGTGCCTCCTTCATTTCTGAGTGGTCCTTTTTTATGCTCTTGAGGCCCTCACTAGATTCACTGAGGTTCTCACTAAGTTCATTGAGCATCCTTATAAGCAGTATTTTGAACTCAGCATCTGTTAGGTTGCTTATCTCCATTTCGCTTAGTTCTTTTCCTGGGGTTTTATTCTGTTCTTTCATTTGGGACCTGTTTCTTTGTCTCCTCATTTTGGCCGCCTCCCTTTGTTTGTTTCTATGTATTACTTAACGAGAGGTATGGGGCTATCTGAGACCAGATGCTGCTTGTTTGAAAGAATTTAGGAAAACCTGAAGCAGGATCCAAGACAAGCCAATCCTATGGTTAAACAAGTGGCAACAGCTTGGGTGGGCCTGAAAATTGGGTGGGGCGGGGCCTCAGGGAGTCACCAGGGTGGGGCTACCAGTGCTGCAGTCCCAGATATGGCGGCTATGTGCCGCCCCAGGGAAGGGCTCACCAAAGGAACAGAGGCCTCTGACAGCATGGTTGTCCAGGAGAAAGCCCCCTCTCCAGCCCTCACTCCAATGCCAAACAGCTCAGTTCTTCCCTGTATGTCTCTGCCGCCCCTCAAGCTGCTTCCCCTCCAAGCTTAGAGGGAGTGAGTCCGATAAGTCCATGCGCAGCCCCTTTAAAAGGAGCTGCCTGGGGCTCCAGCTGCCTCAGCTTCCCTGAGTCTCAGTTCCCGCTGGTTTTTCCAGCCAGAAGTTATGGGGATTCTCTTCCTGGCACTGGAACCCTGACCGGGGTGCCTGGTATGGGACGGGGACACCTCAATCCTCAGGGAGGACCTTCCCAGCTGAGGTATCCTCCTGATTTTTATCCACCACACATGAGTGTGGGACCAGCCTGTCTGCCTCCATCCCTCCTACCAGTCTTGATGCAGCAGCTGCTTTAATTCCATAGTTGTAGAACTTCATTCAGCATGATTTCAGGTGGTTTTGAATGATGGTTGTTCACTAGTTTAGTTGTAACTTTGATCCCGATTGTTTTTAATATTTTACTATCTTAAATGATTTTGCAAATATAGATCTTGGGGTGGGGGAGCATTTTTAAAAATCCTTACCTGAGTGTGTGTGTGTGTGTGTGTGTGTGTGTGTATACATACATATATATATATATATATATACATATATATATATATATTTTAAGTTTATTTAGAGAGAAAAACATTGATGTAAGACAGCAACATCGATCAGTTGCCTCCTGCATCAGCTGGGGATCAAACCTGCATCCTAGGCATGTGCTTGGACTGGGAATCGAACCCGCAAACTTTTGTTGTACAAGATGATGCTCCAAATGAGTGAGCCACCCAGCCAGGGTTGGGGTTTTTATTTAATCAAATGTAGATTTGTTCTTTTTTTTTTTTTTTTTTTTTTTATCCTCACCCGAGGATATTTTTCCATTTTTTGTACAGATAGAGTGGGAGGGAGAGAGAGGAAGGGAGAGAGAGAGAGAAACATCGACGTGAAGGGACACATCGACTGGCTGCCACCTGCACGACCAACCAGGGCCGGGGACAAAGTACAACCGAAGTACGTGCCCTTAGCGGGAACCGAACCCGGGTCTCTCTGGACCGCAGGCCGACGCTCTAACCGCTGAGCCAAACCGGCAAGGGCTGTAGATTTGTTCTTTAGGTTGATTCCAGAAGTGAAATTATTGTATCCAAAAGAAAATTTAAGGTTCTTGACATGCATAATTATGTAGCTTTTTAAAAAAGGTAAAATGCGCCGTGGCTGGTTTGGCTCAGCAGTTGGAGGAAGCATCAGCCCGCGAACCAAAGAGTCTCGGGTTTGATTTCTACATCAAGGACATGTACCTTGGTTGCAGTTCATCCCTGGTCCTGGTTGGGGTCATGTGGGAGGCAACCAATCCATGTGTCTCTCTCACATTGATGTTTCTCTCTCTCTCTCTCTATCTATCTATCTATCTATCTATCCCTCCCACTCTGTCTGAAAATAAATGGAAAGATATCCTCAGGTGAGGATTAAAAAAATCAATAAAAAGGCAAAACATTTATATTCCCACCAAAAACATAAGAATTCCCACTTCATCACACTCCTATTAAAATTTTGTATTTTTTTCAAATTTGCAAATTTTGTAGACAAAAAAAAGCTATTTTGTCTTAGTTTCAATATATTTGATTATTAATGAGGTTGAACATATTTTCCAGGTTTTTTTTTTTTATCCTCACGCAAGGACATTTTTGCATTTATCTTCAGATAGAGCGGGAGGGAGAGAGGGAGAAAGAGAGAGAGAAACATTGATGTGAGAGACACATTGAGTGGTTGCCACCCACACGACCCCAGCCGGGCTGGGGACAAACTGCAACTGAGGTATGTGCCCTTAGCGGGAACCGAACCCAGGACTCTCTGGTCTGTGGGCCCAAGCTCTAACCAGTGAGCCAAACCAGCAAGTGTTTCCAGGTATGTTAAAACAAGTTTTGTTTTTCCTTTTATGAATCATCTATGTCTGTCAACAAAGCGTTGCTAATGAGGCACTCTGCTTACCAAGTTTTAAAATGTTCCTTAAAATGCTGTATAGCTTTTTCCAGCATGTAGCTAATGAAGTTAGAACTCTCAGAACTTTCTTCAAGAGGGATCTTGAGTGTGAAATTAGGGGAAGGCAGAATGCTTAAGCCTATCATCGTATCATCTTGTTTGGAAACATTTCCGTGGTGAACAGGTGGAACTACCTGAGAAAAAGGATTAAACAGTAAAATTTTACTAAATCCCAGTGCACATTCAGGATTAATTTAATACCACATTAATCAGGATAGGCTAGGTTGTGTCAGGGTAAAAAATTTGCCCCAACATTTCAGTGGTTTCATCGGACAAAAATTTTTTTGTCACTAATACAACATATGTCTTTAAAGGGCTCTGTACCATCTAGACACTCAGGACCCTCATTGACAGAGGCAGGTCATCTCCTAGCTGTATGTAGAACACACGGCTTTCTCTGTGGCCTCAATAGAGAAAGAGAATGGATAACCACACAGACTTGTCAACATATCTCACTACTTAACTGTAAGAGGAGCTGAAAAACGTGAGTGAGAAAATGGAATATTTCATGAGTGCTACTGTCTATGCCACAAATATTAACGTGATGCGCCAAGTTTTATACTGAATTTTTCTAAGAAATTTACAATTTATGGTTGTGTGCGTGATTTTTGTAAGAACCAGTCATTTGAAATGCATGATAGTTGTTCTCTTAATGAATTCTCAAGTGCACATACTTTGATATTAATACTTTAAATAAAATTGTTCTGACATGCAACTTGATGTAACTTTAGGAGAACTATTTTGAAGATGTTTTCAAATAAAGAAATTTATAACAAAATTAAAGCAAAATATTAAGAAGACGAATTAAAAATGTAATTTCTTAATTTTAGTTAATAAATGAATAGCTAACATAGTTTTCACTCTTGGCAAATATAATACATAAAAACTGCATAAAGCATTTATGTCTAGTTTAATAAATAATTATATAGCTAATACCCATGTAACTACAATCCAAGGGGCATAAACTTTTTCACCTGCTAGAATTTGTATGTTTTTTACACAAAACTCCTCTTTAGTACTTGCTATTTTATGGCTTTGCACTTTTTCTTTACATGATGTATTAAGAGCTGTTTGGAGGAAAATAACTTTTATAGGCAGTTCAGCAAAGTGAGTAATTTACTGATTCTGGAAAAATGCTGCTTGGGTTTGAATCCCCATTTTACCATTTACTAGCTCTGTGACCTCAGACAAATTGTTCAACTTCCCTGTGCTTCATCTTAAAAATTTGGAAAAGAATAATACTTACTTTATGGGATCATTGGGGGCATTTAATGATCTGATATATGGAGAAGTTCTTAGAACATTGTCTGACACATAGTAAGTGCTCTTCAGTGATAATTATTATAAAAATGTGTCATTGAAAGCCTTAATTTTATTTTATAGGGAGGTTTTTATACTGAAGTGTCTTTGTTATCAATATAAAGAATTTTAGACAAATTTGTTAGTGTTACTCAGAGACACTAGAATGAAAGTAAATTGTAGCATAAAATGGAAAATACTATGATAAAAACAGTTAAATATTGGCTATACCTTTGTCAAGATTGAAAGCACTGCTAAACTTTTTCTTAAATTTTTATTCTTTAAGACAAAACTTTTTCTCATTAAACTAATAGTCTATATGTATGAGGATGAGCAAATATATTGAGTTATTTTGCCCTCCTAGGAAATAATCTAATGGAGTAATAGGATCAGAGAGTAAGTAGGGATTGGAGCTGTGGTTTTCAAAATCTTTTGACTGTGGTCTACAGTAACAAATACATTTTACTTTATGACTCAAAACACACACATATATACATATACAAATGCACTCATAATGGAAATGAATATTTTGTGACATATGCATATGATATTAAATGTAATATGCTCTAATATATTCTCTTGTAGTCTAGACAATTCTGTTTGTTGTTGTTTTAATGTGCTAGTTATGACTCTCTAAAGTTATTTGCTAAACAACACGAGTCACAACCTTGCAGTTTGAAAGAGAGTGAAACACTAGATTACAGAGTCAATAGGTCGGATTCCCTAGAAGCAGAGCCTGAGAAGCTGACACATGATTTCTTAAGGGTGCCTTCAGGTGAAGCTTTTAAGGCAAGCAAAATGAGAAGACAGGGAAGCCAGTCAAGGATGTGGCCTCAGGTGACCTCTAGCCTCAGCCTGATCCCGCAGGGAGTTCCTGAGCATAAAAGCCCCACGGATAAACCTTTGTAGAATGTTGCAGGGCTGAGAAGTTAGCAGCAGCACCATCTAGAGATGGTAGCTGGATCCCCAGTGATTGGCATAGCCACCGACATTCATGCTGCCCAAAATATTGCATCTTTAATTGCTCTTTCTATTGGTTTTTGTATCCATGTCTTTTTAGGAACCCCATCAATACTGACCTCTTCAGGAATTGTTAGCATGGTTCATTTGTTTATTAATGTAATGTGTGTAGGGGTGGGGGTTCTTAGGAAAGAAATTCAGTCACTATTAAATGTTATACAAAAGGAGTTATTGGTTGAATGTGAGACATAATGTAAATCCATGGCAATATGTTTTTATGTGAAGGTTGGTGTATAAATATGTTTAATTTTCAAGGTGATTTAGCAGCTTATTGTGTCAAAAACTAATAAGAGCTATGCTTTACAGAGTTCTTGCTTTGTATAGGGAACCTATATTAATCACTTTACAGATACACATTTAAAAGTAGCTATTATTAGTCCCATTTTCCAAGTGGAAAAACAGATCTAGAGAGAGGTTGTGGAACTTTGCCAAACTTACTCAGCCAGCAAGTTTCAGAGTTAGCCTTTGAACTCAAGTTGCTTAACCTGAAAGTCTTCTCTCTTCAAGTCCATATTGGCCACGCTTCCTCAGGGTTATCTGTATCAGTTATAGCACTATAGCTCTAAGCAGAATTAGCTATCTCTAGATTAAGTATTTTGTGTTTTAAACTGGTTTTCTTTACAGAGTTATTTTCTTTTCTAAAGACCATGCACTACATTCAAGTCAGCCTGAATACAATAACAATGGAAATATGAACATCTGCCCAGCCAGTTTGGCTCAGTGGATTGAGCATCATCCCATGGACTGAGAGGTCCTGGTTTGATTCCTGGTCAAGGCATGTGCTTGAGTTTCAGGCTTGATCCCCAGTAGGGGGTGTGCAGGAGGTAGCAATCGATGTTTCTATCTCTCTCCCTTCCTCTCTCTCTAAAAAATCAATAAAAACATATTAAAATAAATAAATATGAATATCCTTCTGTAGCTTTTTTCAAATACAGAAGTTAACAGAAAAATAAATGTGTGCACATGTAATCTCTATATCTGTTCTTGGATCTTCCATTACCTTTATGGAATTGAAGGTGTTCTCAGTTCCTGGAGTCTGGTTTTCCAGTTCAGTCACCCAGCCAAATTCCTCTCTCATCTTCTCCATCAAATATGTAGTGTCTTCCAAATGATACTGCATCACTTGGAGAATCTGGACATACTGCTGATCAGATATGTTGACCAATTTAAGAGCCTCATCTACTTTTGTGTATAGTTCAGGTATGTCAGGACAGTCTAGCAAAGAAGAAAGTAATATGATAAAGGAAAAGGTCCATGAAATTTGGAGTTGGGTGATATAGATTTAAATCTTAGCTCTTTACCCCAGCCAGTGTGGCTCAATGGTTGAGCATCGATGCATGCCCCGAGAGGTCACCGGTTCGATTCCTGGTCAGAGCACATGCCCAGGTTGTGGGCCTGATCCCCAGTGGGGGGCATGCAGGAGGCGGCCAGTTGATGTGTCCCTTTCACGTCGATGTTTCTCTCTCTCTCTCCCTCCCACTCTCTCTGAACAAAAAATGAAGGAATGTCCTCGGGTGAGTACTTAAAAAACAAACAAACAGAAAGAATACATGAAAATAATTCAAAATGGCAGTTTTTTTAGGGGATAAAGAGGGTGTTAAGGGGCACAGTGGGGACTTCATCTGTTTTGGTAATGTTTTATTTCTTAATCTAGGTGGTAGACACATACGTTTTTTTGGGGGGGGGGTTTTGTTGTTTTTTTTTTTGAGAGAAAGAAAGGAGAGAGAAACATTGATTAGTTGTTCCACTTATTTATGTATTCATTATGTACATTTTGACCACCTTCCTCCTATCCCCTTCCTGACCTTCTGTATTATCTTATGATTGGTTGATTCTTATGTGTGCCCTCACCTGGAATCAAACCCCAAACCTTGGCATATCAGGACAATGCTCTAATCAACTGAGCTCTCTGGCCAGGGCAACATATGAGTTTTTATTATTTTATTCTTCATATATTCACAATAAAATGCATTTTATAATAAAAGTTTTAAATTGTATGGGAGCACATTAGGACATCCTTTCCTTTATGTGTTACCTTTGCAGCAATCAATTTACATTGCCTGTATAATGTGTTATCTGCTATATACTGTATCTGATGCATTATCTGATGTATACTGATTATCCGATGCTATATACTGATTATGTGTTTTAAAAAATTTTTTTCTTTATTGAATTTTAGAGAGAGAAGAAGAGAGAGAGAGAGATAGAAACATTGATGAGAGAGAACATTGATTGGCCGCTTCCTGCGTGCCCCCAACTGGGGATGGGCCCACAATCCAGGCATGTGCCCTGACCGGGAATCGGACTGGCGACCTCTTGGTACATGGGTCGATGCTCAACCACTGAGCCACACCGGCCGGTCTATACTGATTATGTTTATACTGTGTTATGTAATTTCTTCTGTATTATCTTTTTCTCATTTTATTAAGAAATAATTGACATATATCACTGAATAAGTTTAAGGTGTACAGCATGATGGTTTGTTGTACATATATTGCAAAACGATTCCTGCTTTAGGTTTAGTTAATATCCATCATCTCATAGAGATACAATAATAAGAGAAAAGAAAATTTTCCTTGTGGTAAGAACTCTTAGAATCTACTCTCTTAACAACTTTCATATATGCTATACAGCAGTGTTAGGTAGTCATCATGTTGTACATTACATTCTCAGTACTTATCTATAGTATAACGGGACGTTTGTACGTTTTGACCACCTTCCTCCTATCCCCTTCCCTGACCTTCTGTATTATCTTATGATAATCAGTAAGAGATTCTTCACAAAAGCTTCTAACTGGATGAAAGGAAGTTAATGATGAGATGTTTGAGTGGGGCTATTTTTATAAGTGGTTAGTATATTAGTGTATATTTTTCTCTTATGAAAACTTCTGTTTCTGTATGCAGTCTCACAACTGTTACTTAAAAAACAAACACTCAATAATGAGCATCATTAATACTTCAGACATTTAATTTAATCCTCAAAATACTGGTATGAAGTAGCTATATTAGTCCCATTTTCCAAATGATGAAGTATATGTGCTGAGGGTCACCCAGTTAGCAACTCAGAAAAAATAAGACCCTCCTGGTTCTAACAAAAAGGTCCAGTTTATATTCAACCTCCTGGTCCAACCCCTTGGCCACACTTTTTAGAATTTCCTTCCTTTAGGGCTTTGGCAAGGCAAAAACCAGAAACACCAGAATCAAAAGCTCTTCTTGGCTTTGGTAAGAAACTTTGTGTTCAGGCTCTAGCAGGTGGGAGGAGCAACTCTAGTTAAGGAAGTGCAGGGGAGATGAGGGCAGGCAGAAGGAAGGAGGGAGGGTGGGAGGAGCCACGCAGGAAAGGATTTCTTTCCTGGGGATGGAACAAAGGCCACGGCCAGTTCTGGGAGGGCAAAGTCTGCTTGGGGCTTATAAGGAGCAACCACTTTCCATTTTAAAATACTTTCCATTTTAAATTAAAAAAAAAAAAAAAAGTTTTCTTGTCACTTGGCTAAAAATTAGCTTTCCTAAGGGGAAGCTTGCCTTTCTTGGTGGGTTTCCTTTTTCTTCACAGCAAGAAGGAAGGAGCTGTCCTAATTTGTTCGTAGTTCTCTTTTGCACACATTTGTGTTTGGTCTTCAACCATAAAAACTTTCACAGGAACATGAGAAAAAGTGATTTTACCTACTTTCCAATAATAGAAGTTTATAAACTACACTGAGCACCTCCAGTTGGAAATCAGCTCATTTAAAAATTGCTTGCCCTGGCCAGTTTGGCTCAGCGGTTAGAGCATCGGCCTGCGGTCCGGAGAGACCCGGGTTCGGTTCCCGCTAAGGGCACGTACTTCGGTTGCAGTTTGTCCCCGGCCCTGGTTGGTCGTGCGGTGGCAGCCACTCGATGTGTCCCTTCACGTCGATGTTTCTCCCTCTCTGTCTCTTCCTCTCTCTCCCTCCCTCTCTATCTGTACAAAAAATGGAAAAATGTCCTCGGGTGAGGATAAAAAAAAATAATAATAAAATAAAATAAAATATTGAAAAAAAATAAATAAATAAAAATTGCTTGAAGGGAAGCGAATAAATCCACTTGTAAAAGTGAGATGTTTGACCTCTGACCAGAATACTATTGAAATCCAGAGAACATATTTATTTACCTTCCGATAGATAATCCTGACATTTTTGGCATCTTGCATGAACTTGGAAACATTCTGACAGATTCTGGCCAAGTTCTTCACACAGTCCTCTGTCCTGCCCAGACATTGTCTTTGAACTCAGGCCTCCGGGGTCAGCATCTGCAGGTAACACAGCATTTAGACATTAGTGTCATTAGAGTTTGTACTTTAAGGGTGTGGATATAATGCCATTTCTTTTTTATACCAGTGCCTTCAAAATCTTCTTCCTATATTTAATCAGAGGGGTACATGTTGGTACAACAATATGCTAAGACAATTTGACATCTATTAAAAGTTGCATATATCATTTAATTCAGCAATCTCATTACTATTATTATTACTCATCATTATTAGAACACTCCTGTTGCCCCACACCCAGAAAGAATTTTATTTTCTGAAAGGAATCATGAGGAATTATTAATGGTAACTATCTTTCAGAGAGAGTCTTGATGGGGTAGGAGAGGGCAGGTTTCATTAATTTTGTTCCTCTGTATATATGAATTATTTTAAATTCAGTGTACATTTTTGTTTTGTTTTACTAATCCTCACCTAAGGATATTTTTTCCATTGATTTTCAGAGAAAGCGGAAGGGAGGGAGGGAGAGAGGAAGAGGGAGAGAGAAACATTGATGTGAAAAAGACACATCAATTGGTTGCCTACTGCATGGCCCTGGGGTTGGGAATTGAACCTGCAACCCAGGTACATGCCCTTGACTGGGAATCAAACCTGAGAACCTTCGGTGTGCAGACCAACGCTCTAACTGCTGATCCACATGAGCCAGGGCTAGTGTGTCTTACTTTTATTACTATTATTTTTTATGCCAACAAGGTCAACTGAATAGGGGATAGTAAGCCACTTTTCTCTTTGGATTTGTATTAAATTTTTCTAATAACTATTTTAATTTTTTAAAGCTATAATTGGGAAGTACATTAAAGTGTCAAAGATATTTAAAATGTCTGTTTCTTAAACTAAGTGCTAGGGATTTACTTTATTACTATCTTTTTACATTTTATATATAGTGTTATGAACAGTGGGTTGAAAATTTGGGAAAACATCTAAAACAGATCAGTTTTTGAGAAAACTTTTTTTCTGGAAGAATTAATTATTCATATAAAAATGACGATGTAAAAGAGAAGTCTATCCAACAGAAAAGTTCCCAATTGAGTATTTCACACTAGAAAAAATTAATTATTAAATTATAACCTGATGCTTTTGTTATCTTTAATCCTCAACATTTAGAAATAAAACATTTCACCTTGGCCGGTTTGGCTCAACGGTTAGAGCGTCGGCCTGTGAACTGGAGAGTCTCAGGTTCGGTTCCCACTAAGGGCACATACCTCGGTTGCAGTTTGTCATGGCCCCAGCTGGGGTCGTGTGGTTGGCAACCACTTAAAGTGTCTTTCTCACATCGATGTTTCTCTCTCTCTCTTCCTCCCCCTCTCCCTCCTGCTCTATCCAAAGATACATGCAAAGATGTCCTCTGGTGAGGATAGAAAAATAAGAATAATAAATAAATAGATAAAAATGAAACATTTCATTTTGAGATAAATTGTGCAGTCTACTGCTTAGAAACTTGTGAGGCATTTGTTAGATTATATGCTGTGTGAGGCAACCATCTCCTTCATTGGATAGAAAGTCATTTTCTCCCAGATCCTGGCTCTAGATTTAGTGGTATCTCCTCTTGTCCCCCATCCCCACCCCAGGACCTCTATGAGGAGTTCTACTATAGAACTTGTTTCTGCTTAATGTACTGTTCACTTTTTTACCTTCTCTATTATATTCTGACCCCCTTGAGAGAAGGGATTTGATCTTGTCATTTTAATCTTTGTATTCTTCCATATGAAATCGTCATTTCACTGACGATGTGGTAATGTAATTATCCACTGATCTGTCTGTTTTCCTTTCTCAGGACGGAGCTCCTAAAAGGCAGGGCTGTGTCATAATCATTGTCTTATTTCCAACATCTAGATTAATACCTGGTATATAGATCAGGGATGGCAAACTTCAGGTCCCTATGACATTAATTCCTCAATCTGTACCCACAGCAGAAACCCATCACCTCACTTCAGTCAGACCATAACAGAGCCTCAGGACCCTTCTGGGCAGCTACTTCTGTCCAGCACCATTCCTAATATAAACCACCTTCTATCCTACCTGCCTCTGTATCCCCACCCTAAGGGAAAATTAAGGTCAGCAAACACTCTCTAAGGTAGGATTAGAACCCAGATCTCCTAGCACCCAGCACTATGTCAAGCTACTACACCACACAGTTTTATTGACTAGAATCTCATCTATTCTTTCTAGGGATTTATAAGGCAAGTGAGAACAATTGAAAAGCTATTTTATTCTCTTTCAACACATTCAGGAATTGAGGTCCTGAAAGACTGAAGTAGAAAAAAAAATTCTTCCATATGGAGATGAAAGAACACTCAATAAAATAAAAAATAGTATTAAACAAGATATTTCATGTATTTATTATCGCCTATCTCCTTTTAATAGGATTCATTATTCAATTTTAGCTATTTTTCTAATTTTGGTTTTTAAGACGATCATGACAATACACAGTACTCACTCAGTAAATGTTGACCGCTATACTTAACAAGAGATGTGTAATATTTTCCTATCACTATTGTAACAAATTACCGCACATGTAGTGGCTTGAAGCGACTCTTTATCTCACATTTCTATAGGTCTGAAGTCTGAAATGGGTCTCACTGGGCTATAATCAAGGTGTTGGCAGGGCTATTTTTGCCTAGAGACTCTAGGAGAGAATCCATGTCCATGCTTTTCCAGTTTCTGGAGGCCACCTGTATTCCTTGGCTCGTGGCCTCTCCTCTAGCTCAAAGCCGGCCAAGCAGGGCCAAGTCCTCCTGCTGCCATTTCCATTGATTCCTTTCTGGCTCCTTTTCCCACTTTTAAGGACCCTTGGAGCCCCTTGGATAATCCAGAATAATCTCTCTATTTTAAGGTCAACTGATTAGCAACTCAATTCCGTTCTGCAACCTTACTTTCCCCTTGCCATGTAACTTATAATCACAAGTTGTAGGGATTAGGACTGGAACATCTTTAGGAAGCTGTTATTCTGCCTACCACAAGAGCAAAGTTTAAAATGTCTTCTCATTAGATGGATTTTTCTAGGGGCAATAGGTTTATTTTTCACTTACCACCTGTCCATTATAGTGATGAAAACCACATGTAAACTTCCTCCAGCCCCTGCCTGCCAATTTTTTTTTTTTTTTTTTTTTTGGTGGTATGTACCCCTAGCAGGAAACGAACCCAGGACTCTCTGTTCCACAGGCTGACACTCAACCACTGAGCCAAATTGGCCAGGGCTGCCTGCCTATTTTTGATGAATAGTCCTCATGTGTTCACCTGGGAAGAGAACGTCTCTTTTGTTGAATTTGCTGCATACCATCTGGTTAGGGTAGGTGTACTGGAGAAAGAAGAGTATAAAGGTGTAACATAGGCTCTTTTTGTTTGTTATTTTGTTGTTGTTGTTGTTGTTGTTGTTTTAATTTTTGCATTTATAGGGTACCCTGGATCTCCAAGTTATCACCAAGGTGAAGGTGGTATGAGGGACAGGCAGAGGGGGGCCCATGAGCTAGCCTAGGTAAGAGCTGGTCCCAGAGTGTGTGAACAGGGAGGACAGACTGGTGGAAACCCACATTTTGAGTTGGTGGTGGAGGAGGGAGTTGCAGTGATTGAGGAATTGTTTAGATTTCAACTGGCCGAGTTACTAGTACTCCTGTGCACATTTGAATGTAGCAACTCATGTGTAAGATTGCTACACAATGTAAAAGATAGGGCAGGAGGGGGGCATAATTTTGTTTTAATGAACACATTCTTTATTACTGGAATATTATTCCAGGACAATTGATATCTATTTAAAATGTAAGGCAAAAACGATCCAATATCATCCCCACATTGATATATTTAGTTTATTGCCTTTATGCTTTTCCTGAATACTTGGTGAACTTGGAATATCAGAATACCAGACCAAACACTTGACTTACCAGAAAAGTCCACCAGACCCTGAAATAGAACCTAACGACAATTCCAGTAACGCTGAGTGTTCTACTCGTGGAACAATGGGACAGGAAGGATGTAATGCATTTTTTCCTGGCTTCAGTTTCTGACAGTGTGAGGTAAGCCCCTCCTATATAGAGGCCTGTTATGCAATGTCATCGCAATTTTATGAATTTGATTCAAATGTTGTCAACTACAGCTACTATAAATGGAAAATAGTCAGCTAGAAGGAGCCCTTTATTTCCTACACACAAAATCTGTATGTAATTAATATATACAACGTGATTAGTTTGAAAATAAGGATACATCCATGAAATCAGCCTCACAAGCTATGCCATAAAATTATCCATCACCTCCAAAAATGTCTTCCTACCCTCTTACTTTATTATTATTATTGCCAAGAACTCATAAAATCTACCATTTTAGCAATTGTTTAAGTATCCAATAGAATATTGTTAACTATGGGCACTATGCTAGGCAATAGATCTCTAGGACTTATTCATCTTATGTAACTAAAACTTTGTCCCCTTGGACCAACACCTCCCCATTCCCCCTTCTCTTCTGCACCTGGCAACAAGCATTCCACTCTCTGCTTCTGTGAGTCTGACTATTTTAGGTTCCTCATAGAAGTGAGAGCATGCTGTATTTGTTCTTCTGGGTTTGGCTCATTTCACTTAGCATAATGTCCTCCAGACTCATCCACATTGTCAAATATGATAGAATTTTAGAGGAAGCCCATTCTATTTTTCATGTCAGAGGGGAGCAGCCTTTTACTTGGCCTAGTGGTCAATAGGAAGTAAGTCCAAGGAAACGCAGATCCTACAGTTGGCCTACACGGTCACTCTCATTCTGAGATGCTGCGTTCCAGCCACTCCATAGGAGCCCAAATATTTTTTCCCCCTTGAAATATAAAGCAGAATTGTTTTTTTCAACATGAAATAATGAGACATGGGCATGAGTGATATCAGTAGAAGGCAATTCTTATCTTTTATAGAAATTCCTATTTCTGCAGTTTGGGGTTTATCTATGAGCATTTTCTATGATTTTGTGCATATATGTTATGACTTAAGGAATTACTGTAGTGATGCAGAGGAGGCCACAGAATGTGACCTGGTTTTACATGACATTAGGCTTCTTCTCAAACTGGGAGTTGAGGAGCCTAGACTGATTTTAAGGAAACTCCACAATGTTCCAGCAGAATAGAACTGAGCATCTATGTGAGTTTTAATAAAGGAGCAACCCCCCTCCCCCCCACACACATACCAAATTTCTCACCCTGCTAGCATTTTTCAACTTTGATACTTTGCTTTACTGACAGAACAGCCCCACAGAGCTCTTGACAATGATGGAAGAGGGATGGTGTTTGGCAGACTTCAAAGCTTCTAAAAGGCTCTGAAACTTTGATTATCCAGAAATTGTCACACTCAGAAACATTGTGCAAAGACTTAGAAATGTCTACCATTTCCAAAGCCAAATAAAACTTGACTTTAGTATGAACATCTAAGTGAAAATAACTTTTAATACTCGCCTTCGTGTTGTTTTGGTAAGTCCACCATTGCATTCAGCATCTCAGTAATTGCTGTACTGACACTTTGATAAATGGAGAGACTGAAATTACAAAACAGCTGGAAGAAGCTGGGAAGGTCCCAACTCTGCACAACATCTGCTTTTTTTGTTGGCTCTTTGAATAACGCTGGAAAAACATAAGGCTCAATTAAGTCTGTATCTGACATGAAATATGACTGAAAAGCCTCATCAAATTCTTGCTGCATCTGTTTGAAGACGTTAAAACTCCTGTTAAAGAGAAATCTCACATCCACAGTCAGGTGGTTGAACATGTGCTCTATTTGGGTCACTTGCGCATCTTCCTCCATGACCTTCTCACCGACGGGGAGATCTTTTCTATTATCTTCATGGAAAGGAAATAGAAATTGATATATCTTCCTAAAAAACTGTTCAATCTGTGGGGTGGGGGACAAAAATGGAATAGAAATTTATTTGCTTTCTGAACTATTTTTTTTTTATTGTAAGTTTAAAAGTGAACTTATAGTAGTCATTCCAAATCAAGAACAATTCTGGGCAAATCAGGAAAAGGTAATTCAACTTAAGATAATGTATTGCCCAGCAGGTGTGGCTCAGTGGTTGAGCATCAACCCATGCACCAAGAGGTTGCCGGTTCGATTCCCGGTCAGGGCACATGCCCATCCCAGGTTGTGGGCCCAGTCCCTAGTAGAGGGCATGCAGGAGGCGGCCAATTGATGTTCTCTCTCATCAATGTTTCTATCTCTCTCTCCCTGTCCCTTCCTCTCTCTCTCTTTAAATCAATAAAGATAAAAAAAGATAATGTGTTAACACTCTTGTACTGGCTTTGACTTTGACAAGGAAATAGGATCTGAAATTCCTTCTGGTTTATGTTTGCCTATCAAAGGCCTAAAAAGGCCAAATTTTCAATATTATTGACAAACCACGGGCTGATGTACTGGTGGTGGTTGGTGTGCCATGGTCCAAAGGGCACTGTGTAAATTGCCTGAAAACTATAAGGAAGACTCTTGTCTTTCACCTCTGTCTTAGTATCTTAGTTCTTCTCTTTTTCCCCTGCAGTATAATATCATTAATGTATTTACATTCTCCTCTTTTTCATCTCATCAAAACTTTCACAATGAACTATAGATGCCAAATAGAGCTAAATAGGTTACTTAGGATGGTTACTCATTTGCAGTGATCAAAGCCCCTCCTGGCTGTAGTGAAAGGAACGAAACTCTAATTATAGGATTCCTGACTTACTGGGAGATTTTTCCAGCAGTCATACCATGTTCTACTTCATCTATGTGACTCCTGAGTTTGTGCCAGAGCATAGTTGTCCTTATATGTTAGTGATATTGCTATGCTGAGTGTTATGGAACATATCAACTACCAAACATCACTGCTGTAGCATCCCAGTGCTGTTCAAAGAATTCTCCAGAAATTCTTAGAAAACTCATGCCTTTCTCAGAAAGTAATCTGGGTGGATCATCTGCCTCTCCCTCTTCCAGTTTCTGTTTACCCGAATCCATTTACAAAAACAAAGCTTTAAAGCACCAAGACATTTTCACAAGGCCACACAACTGACACAGATAGGAATGGGCTCCAAACCTCCTGACTTCCAGCCACGGCTTATTCCACTATATTCCAGTGTATTGGAGAGTGGCAATAAAAATGGAGCAGATGCAATGAACAGTGGAGGCCAATTACCTTGGCATATGAATCATCCTAAGGGTTGTTCCCTCTATAATTGGACACGGCACTGCCAAGCCAGGAACATACTCTAATTAGTGCATGCTCTGAAATGGAGAGGGAAATTTCACTCCATTTCATATCCAGCTCACTTCTTGAAGGGGAAGGGAAATTCAGGCCGATAGAGTAGGAGACTATTGTGGGACAGAACTCATCCTATTCAGGTCACCTCCCTCTGTGATTCCCTCTGCCAAATAGCCAAAGGGGACAAAAAAGAAAACATGCCGGTCCTATTAGACATGCATGGATAGGCCTACAGGGGGCATGAGTCTGTGTGTGCGCGCGCACATGTATATGTGTGCTGCCAGAGAGGGCAAGCCCATTGAAGAAGAGATTCAGGAGGCAGAGAATGTCTTCAAATGTTTGGCCTCCAGGGAAAAAAGTTAAAGGAGGTTGAAATCAGAGACCATAATACTATTATTCAGAATGCAATTCAGCAAATATTTATTGGATATCTATAATGCTTCAATGAAGATAAATGAGATATAGTCCCTGCCTTTAAAGAGCTTACAATCTAGTGGGAATGTGTTCACAAATAATGAATACAAGCCAGCCCTGGCCAGTTTGGCTCAACAGAGCATCGGCCCATGGACCAAACAGTTGTGAGTTCCATTCCAGGCAAGGGTATGTACCTTGGTTGCGGTTCTGTCCCCATCCCTGGCCAGAGTCGTGCAGGAAGCAATCAATGTGTCTCTTTCACATCAATGTTTCTCTCTCTCCCTCTCTCCCTCCCTCCCACACTGTCAGAAAATAAATGAAAAAATATCCTCAACTGAGGATTTAAAAAAATAAAAATAAAATAAAAATAAATACAAGGCAGAAAGCATCAGAGTATTTCTAAGAGATACATACAGTGTCATTAAAGGGAGGGACAAATACTGAATGGCTATTCTAATTTATAAATTATATATACCAGCCAAATCAGAGCTAAGCATGAATGTTAGATTCTAGATTGCAAAAGGCCAATATCAGATCAGGCATCTTTATTCTAAATATTAATATAAATTAATCAGAAAAATAAGCTAAAGTTGGTACCTTAAAAACTTTGAAATCTTAAGCTCTCTTATTCCCTTACCATATTTTCTGTAGAGGACCGACTAGGTTGGCAGGTTGTATAAAGTCTCATGCAGTCACTTTCCAGGCAAGACTTGCATTCATCCCAGGAATCTGTCAGAGACTCCTGGCATCGCCTTTCTTCCTCTTCCAGATGTTCTTGAACTTCATTCATAAGTTTCAGGGCTTCCTAATTAAGAAATAGAAACAAACATCCTATTTGCATTTTATAACTCTATGTATACCTTAGTTTATCTCATTCTTTAAAATAGGGATATTCTAAACTACTTATTCATTCCTCCTTCAGGTCTCAAGTAACTGACAGATCTACCCCAAAGAAAGCTTTCTCTTTGATTAAGAAAAAAGCACTTACTGATTCCTGTTGAAGACTGTGAAAATCTTATTCATCTGTTCATTTATTCATTCACTAGATATTCATTGAGTGCTTGCTATGGGACAGGACAGACATTACTAGATGTGGGTGAACCAACAAGGAAGACACAATCCCTACTCTGGGGAACGACTGTAATTAACCTATTTACTTATTTGTCTTTACTTCTAATCCTTGAGGGATGTAGAAAGTAATTTTAAGGCTTAGAAAGCTGACACATTAATTTATTTACGTTATGCTTCCTTGAATTTTTGTATGTTTTAATATCGAAAGAAAGTTCAATTCTTGCATATCAAATCAAATCTTCCTATTGATAATTCTAGTTGCCAAGATGCTTGCTGTACGCTGAGCATCTTCATTCTTATTTACCATATTCCAAGCACTCCCCCTTGTGGTGACTTGCTGTATTTGGCCAGGTACCACTGTGGGGTAAGGAGCCCAGCAGAAGTGACATTGTCCCTAAGAACCTCAGCCCTTGAGCTCCTTGAGCTCCTCTCAGGCTGGCACCCCGTCTAGACCCCTGACCTCCCTACAAGTGTGGACTTCTGAAGACAGGCTCCCTCCATGCCCGAGATGTAGTTCAGGGGAATTACAGGGTATAATTGACTCACCCATTGCAAGACAACCTCAGAGCTAATGGCCACTCCCTTAAGTGAAAGCTGCACGAGGAAGCAGTTTCCGTACTTAAAACCAATTAAGTGTGTGTCTTCACCTAGTGAAAAAAATAACTGACCCTTTTCTGGCATATCAAACCCCAAAAAACACCTGGGCACTGACAATCGTCTGCATCTCCTTTGCTGGGCTCGCATTGTTCAGCTGCCAGTGCAGAATCCTGAGGCTGAGCCAGGTGGCATTTGCTGTGTCCCACATAAAAAACTGGCAGGGCCCCAGCCTACTCAATGTACCTTGTGACCCAGACAGGATTTCCTTGTCTCCTTGGGCTTTGTAGAACAGTTCTGGAACCCTACATCTTCTCAAGAAAGGTTGCCTTATCTTGGCAGGCAACAATACCACCCACATTTTCTCAAGTCCCAGTTTTTTTGTTTTTTATCCTCACCTGAGGACTTTTTTTTTTTTTTTTTTCATTTATCTTCAGATAGAATGGGAGGGAGAGAGAGAGAGAGAGAGAGAGAGAGAGAAACATTGACAGGAGAAAGACACATCGAGTGGTCGCCACCCACACAACCCCAACCAGGGCAGGGACAAACCGCAACTGAAGTACATGCCCCCAGCGGGAACCATACCCAAGGCTCTCCAGTCCACCGGCCGACCCTACAACCGCTGAGCCAAACCGGCCAGGGCTCAAGTTCCAGTTTTAAATATTCTGCTCATGGTCATCAAAACCTAAATCCCAATATTTCTAATTCCAAACTACACTCACTGTGTACCCTTGGGCAAATAAGAATAAAAATAGGATCTACCTCTTAAGGTTTTGTATTAAGCGAGATAAGCAAGCAAGGCATCTAGCAAGTTATTTGTAGTATTTCCTGATGTTCTTCCACTAGCCCCCAAGAGCATAACAAAAAACCATTACCAAATCACATGTCCCAAGTTTTGTTAGTGAAATGTTGACATGGAGGAAGTAGATCTCTAGTTTAAGAATACCCTGCACATTCCTTCTATTTCCCCCCTAAATGTCTCACCCACTGATAGAGTCCATATCAATTCTTGTGGTTTACAGCTTATCAAAGTCCCATATAAACCTGGAGTGGGGGGAAATTACTTTAAGTCACTCTAGGGTTTTTCCAGTTTAGTAAGTTTCCAATGCTCTCATTACATGTTAATAGGAAGGGACTGAGGAGGGGGCCTCAATGATGCTGGGTCAGCTGAGGATGGGTGGTGCTCTGTACTGGGAGACTGGGGGCAGCAACCCTATATTTGCCAATTCATCGTTTGTCTAAAGTATCCCCTAGTCTAGGTTCAAAGTAATTTTAGGGAGACTTAAGGTTAAACAGGTTTTTCTTTTTAAAAATTAACTTTTTAATTGAGTGTCCAGATCTTAAGAGTGTGATTCAATGAATTTTTATACAATAAGTAGGATTTTAAGAAAAATTAAAATTCGATGAGTCCTAGGATTCTTTAGGGCCAGAACTGAAACCAACACTTGCTTATTTGACCCACCCCTAAATGAAACATTCTTTTCATAGCACTACACCCTCGGCTTGCCTGGAGGCTGGGGAAAGGAAGAAAAACAGAAAGTCACTGGGTCCCACAGACAAAGCACCAGCTGACCATCTCCCCGGTCATTCATGACAGTGTTGAATTAACCTGTTCATTAACAACTCGTGCCTCAGTTTCCTTATCTATAAATGAAAGAATGGTTTACTCAGGTGTTGGAAGGATCACATGTGATAATGTTTTATAAACGGCCTGGGAATGATATCTGGTGTCATTAGTGCCAGTGGCCAGGCTCACAAGCCCACCAGGGAAGAATGCAGCTCAAGAAGCTTCCACATGTTCCTCGTGAAAAGTTTTTTTTAATTTTCTAAAAATCTTTTGATTGCTGCCAAAAGGAAGGCGGGCTTTCAGCTGCTGGTCAGGCAATCTCCTTTCCTTGCTACGGACCCTGCAGGATGCAGGGTGTAGATGTGGCCAAAACATCAAGCAGTGTGGTGACAGGCTGACCACATGTTTGTGGTCAGCCTGTCACACAATTCTGCTCCAACTGCTTACTGGACACCCAGAGGCCACAGTGCTCGGAAGTGAAGACAATTCCAGCAGCTATCTGAAACTCGGTGGCCTCCAACTTTAAAGGTATATGACGGAAATATTAGAACTTCTATTTGTATTTTTAAATTTAAAAATTGACTCTGGGGAGGAAAACAGGAAGTTGTTTAATGGGTATAGAGTTTCAGTTTTGCAAGATGGAAAGAATTCTGGAGATTGGTTGCCCAATCCTGTGAACGTACTTAAAACTACTGAACTGTACATTTAAAAGTAATTAAGAGCCCTGGCCAGTTTGGCTCAGTGGTTAGAGCGTCGGCCTGCGGTCCGGAGAGACCCGGGTTCGGTTCCCGCTAAGGTCATGTACTTCGGTTGCAGTTTGTCCCCGGCCTTGGTTGGTCGTGCGGGTGGCAGCCACTCGATGTGTCCCTTCACGTCGATGTTTCTCTCTCTCTCTCCCTTCCTCTCTCTCCCTCCCACTCTATCTGTACAAAAAATGGAAAAATATCCTCGGGTGAGGATAAAAAATAAATAAAATAAAATAAAATAAAAGTAATTAAGATGGTAAATTTTATATTATGTGTATTTTACCCCAATTTTAAAATTATTTAATGAGAACAACATTTAAAAGTAATTCACTCTCAATGTTAAAATTTAAAATATTTTCCTATCTCTGTTTGTTAAAGTTTTGATTTCCTCTTTGATTTAAATTATTGGAAAACAATATTTTAACATTTTTCAATTGTTTGAGTATTATGTTAATGGTTAATGCTTTAAACTATGAGCCATGCAATGTCCATAATTTAGAAATGTATTAGCAGCCTGGCTGGTGTGGCTCAGTGGATTGAGCATCATCTCATGCACTGAGAGGTCCCAGCTGGATTCAAGGTCAGGAAACATGCCTGGGTTTTGGGCTTGATCCCCAGTAGGGGGCGTGCAGGAGGGAGCCAATCGGTGTTTCTCACATCGATGTTTCTATCTCTCTCTCATTTTCTGTCTCTCTAAAAAAATAAATTAAAAAAAAAAAAGAAATGTATTAGCTTTTATAATTGTAACATGTGAATAACTTTTGGCATCTTTCATGGACATTTGAATTTAATGTGTATTCTCTATTGGTAAGATACATAGTTTGAACCACAGCTGTCAGGTAAAAGTAACTGAATTAAAAAAAAAATGATAGGCTGATGTACTATTTCATATACACTGGTGCTCTATTGTGGTGCTTATGTCAGCCATTGCATGAGGCCGACGGTGTGAGAGGACCCTGGGGAAGGGAGGCCTCACATTCCAGAAGCACTGACACTGGCTTCCTCTCTGTCCACTTGCAGCCAATTGCAATGAATCGTATTTCTGGGGATTCAGTGAAAAGATAGTTTTTATTGACTAGTTTTAACTAAACTAGCCCTCACTGAGTAAATAGGAGGCCAACCCCCTCCCCCAGCAGATTATGAATAATTTTAGTTCAGAAAAACAAGAAGCAAATAGCAGAGCTGACACTTCTTTGTTCTGAGCTCTTTATTGGCCAAGTGACAGTAAGAATATGATGATCTAATCAGATCTGGCAAATGGACTAATTCAAAATATCTAGATTATTAAACAATTTTTTTAAATTAATTTTAGAGAGAGAGGAAGGGAGAGGGAGAGAGAGAAACATCGATTGGCTGCCTCCTGCATGCCTCCCACTGGGGATTTGGCTCACGACCAGGGCATATGCCCTGACTAGGAATCAAATGATGACCTACTGGTGCATGGGTCGACACTCAACCACTGAGCCACACCAGCTGGGCTATCTAGATTATTTTTATTTTATTTTATTTTTTTATTTAATTAATTAATTAATTTTTGTTACAGATGTTTCTCCTTTTTCCGCCACTGATTTCCCATCTTTCTTTCTTATAGTTGCACAGTACTCCATTGTGTATATGTACCACTGCTTTTTTATCCATTCGTCTACTGATGGACACTTGGGCTGTTTCCAGATCTTAGCTATTACAAATAGTGCTGCTATGAAAATGGGGGTACATATATTCTTTCTGATTGGTGTTTCAGGCTTCTAAGGGTATATTCCTAGAAGTGGGATCACTGGGTCAAATGGAAGTTCAATTTTTAATTTTTTGAGGTAACACCATATTGTT